AATTTAATACACAAGTCGAGCTCAAATCAAATCGGTTCTAACCGACTCCGTTATCAACCATGGCCTGTTACTAGTTCTAAAAGGGATATTTCATTGGGGTCCGAATAGGGATGGTGGTGGTCCCATTGATAGTGAGAACCCGAGGGGGGAATGAGTTGTCTGCCATGCCCACACATGCTTTGATACATATATAGTATTTGCCAGATGTATGATGGAGATGGGTGTTAATGTAACACCCACCCAAGTTTCATCACATTTTATCTTTCTAGAACTTTGTGGTGGGTCCCTAACTATATGGAGTTTTCCTCCAGGGATGCTAAATAATTGAGATACCCATTATTTATGGACAAATTTATTCTTAAGATTAAGACCAAAAAAATAAAAAATAAAAAAAAAGTTTCTCAATCGACGAGACTCTCATATGCGGAGGTTTGAAGAGGAATCAGATATAAGCAGCTCTACCTGTGCATGCAAAGAAAATTTTCATTCCACTGAAATATTTGACATCCAACTTTCAATGAAATAATTTTACCATTCTCCTAAAATTCGACGCTCCAAAAAAGTTTTATGGGACAAACTATAGCCAAGATGGAGTTTTCTATTGAAAAATCTCTAGGTTCAATCGAATGTATATTGGATCAATTAAGTTCAACTCTTACTTTTCTAACTTGGTATTGGGAGTGGGTTGGTTGCAAGGATAAAGAGGTTTCACATGGAGAACAATGGGAGAGAGAGTTNCAAAATGTGACTTTTTTTTTTTGGAATCGTATCTAATCTTTTCAATCAAAAACCATTCAACTGTTTCAATACATAAAGCGGAGCATTGTAGTAGGGCCCAATCCCTACTACAATGCTCTGCTAACTCCAATCGTCTTTCACACTCACTTAAGTCTTAACTTTTAGCCCGTATCATTCTTTTTTAAATATGTGGAATATTTAAAGTTTTTTTTATTTTTTTATTTTACTTCATCTTCTTATCTTTATGATTAATGACTATAAATGATTTAATATGAAAGATCTACAATCAAAAAATATATTTTAATATAATATTGAAAATATTTTTTGGTACTTTAACCTTATCCATATGTATGTTGTATCGAGCTTACATTGTATAATATTATATATTGTAGATTATATTTACGTGTGTAAATATTTTTATTTTTATTATAAGCAATTAGGAATTGAATTCTCACAAAAAGCAAGATTGGTCTCTTAGATGTGCCCTTTGCTAAAAACGAGCTTAGTTTGCCCTGATTTCAATTTTAAACATTCAAACATCAACTTCCAATCGTAACCAAAAGAGATTAGTAATTGGTTTAGTAGTTATCATCACCATTCTCGCTATTAAACTTTAAGATTAAAGATTCGAAACTAGTCGTCCTTCTCCCTATAATAGTGTCTGACAAAANGTGACTAACACAACAATAGTTGTAGATAAGTAAACGATCTAATTATAGCATCAAAATGTGACTTTTTTTTTTTGGAATCGTATCTAATCTTTTCAATCAAAAACCATTCAACTGTTTCAATACATAAAGCGGAGCATTGTAGTAGGGCCCAATCCCTACTACAATGCTCTGCTAACTCCAATCGTCTTTCACACTCACTTAAGTCTTAACTTTTAGCCCGTATCATTCTTTTTTAAATATGTGGAATATTTAAAGTTTTTTTTATTTTTTTATTTTACTTCATCTTCTTATCTTTATGATTAATGACTATAAATGATTTAATATGAAAGATCTACAATCAAAAAATATATTTTAATATAATATTGAAAATATTTTTTGGTACTTTAACCTTATCCATATGTATGTTGTATCGAGCTTACATTGTATAATATTATATATTGTAGATTATATTTACGTGTGTAAATATTTTTATTTTTATTATAAGCAATTAGGAATTGAATTCTCACAAAAAGCAAGATTGGTCTCTTAGATGTGCCCTTTGCTAAAAACGAGCTTAGTTTGCCCTGATTTCAATTTTAAACATTCAAACATCAACTTCCAATCGTAACCAAAAGAGATTAGTAATTGGTTTAGTAGTTATCATCACCATTCTCGCTATTAAACTTTAAGATTAAAGATTCGAAACTAGTCGTCCTTCTCCCTATAATAGTGTCTGACAAAAAGAAATTGTACCCCAATAACTTTCCGTTGATTTCTTTGGATACCTGGCTTTTTCTTTTTCTTTTTCTTTTTCTTTTCTTTTTTACTTTATTTAAAGAGTTTCTTGGAATTGGTTTTGGTTGTTGTGTTTTTCCATTCACCTTTGGCAAAGATAAAGCTTTGATATTTCTTTTCTTGTAACTTGCAAGTCACATTCATAATTGATCAAAACCAGTCAACAAATACTAGGGCTATTATTAGAGCTATTAGTAACGTTGATAATTGAGCTAAATTTCATAAGTTTAAATTGAACCTCTGAAACTCGTTTTTTAAAACGAGTTTAAAAAGTTATTCAAATTCCACTCGTTTAAAAAATGAGTTGAGCCCGAGTTGAACTTAAGTAATTTGACTATTTTACATATAAACGAACCGAACAAGTCTAAAAAGTTATTCAAACTTGACTAATTTAATACACAAGTCGAGCTCAAATCAAATCGGTTCTAACCGACTCCGTTATCAACCATGGCCTGTTACTAGTTCTAAAAGGGATATTTCATTGGGGTCCGAATAGGGATGGTGGTGGTCCCATTGATAGTGAGAACCCGAGGGGGGAATGAGTTGTCTGCCATGCCCACACATGCTTTGATACATATATAGTATTTGCCAGATGTATGATGGAGATGGGTGTTAATGTAACACCCACCCAAGTTTCATCACATTTTATCTTTCTAGAACTTTGTGGTGGGTCCCTAACTATATGGAGTTTTCCTCCAGGGATGCTAAATAATTGAGATACCCATTATTTATGGACAAATTTATTCTTAAGATTAAGACCAAAAAAATAAAAAATAAAAAAAAAGTTTCTCAATCGACGAGACTCTCATATGCGGAGGTTTGAAGAGGAATCAGATATAAGCAGCTCTACCTGTGCATGCAAAGAAAATTTTCATTCCACTGAAATATTTGACATCCAACTTTCAATGAAATAATTTTACCATTCTGCTAAAATTCGACGCTCCAAAAAAGTTTTATGGGACAAACTATAGCCAAGATGGAGTTTTCTATTGAAAAATCTCTAGGTTCAATCGAATGTATATTGGATCAATTAAGTTCAACTCTTACTTTTCTAACTTGGTATTGGGAGTGGGTTGGTTGCAAGGATAAAGAGGTTTCACATGGAGAACAATGGGAGAGAGAGTTGGCATTGTCACGTAGTGTAACTACCCAATAATAAACAAATAAATGGATAAGTGAACCCCATTTTTTAAATATTTGGCTGTTATTATCATACATGGAGAGAGGTGATTATTTGAAACAATGTTGACGTAGTGTAACTGTTGCACACAATATTTCATAGAAAGAGAGAATTGGTTGGTGACACCTCATGACAATAATAACATCGTGTCATCGTTACATTCAATATTTTCTCGAGAGGGAGAGAAAGAGACGGATGCAACTTGAAGACTACAAGATTGTGCAACTGTAACCTAGCAATCTGTCCACAAAACTTTTCATGAAAACAAAAAAGGAAGAGCACATTAGTGGATAATCCGCATTGTAAACAAGAAAACAAAGATGTTATTCCATTTTGGAATGATGTGTTTGGCTAGCCATCAATACTATGGGCACTAACCTGCCTACTGAAACCACTAATATTTTAGAACCCCCTCGTGATTTTCATGCAATTGCTTTGTTTAAGATTCATATTAGGTTTGCAATTGGTCTTCATACCACCAGTGTTTGTCTAACAAATCTTATTTACAAAGAAAATTAGATATTGATTTGACAACCATGTCTTTGTCACCATTGGGATAAAAAAAAAAAAAGACACTACCATGAGTTGTAACAAGCACACAGGAAATAATCTCGTTATAGTGCTTGCAGCATAAATGGTTATGTAAAGTGGAATGCAAAATCTTCTTTAATCAAGCAAAAAAAAAAAAAACNTTATAGTGCTTGCAGCATAAATGGTAATGTAAAGTGGAATGCAAAATCTTCTTTAATCAAGCAAAAAAAAAAAAACTAATTAGGGTGGTAAAAAAAATGGTGAAGTAGGTTTCCTCGAATACATTTTTATGTAAATCTCTCACTATACTAATTGATGGTAGACTCACTTGAATACAGTTCAGTACGTTTGCATTTATGGAAAGGTGATATGAGAAACAAACGTCGTGCACAGAATCCAAATTAAAAACTATAAATTGTTGCCATGGTTTTTGGAAAATTGTTAACCTCTCTGAGCCGTATAAGTAGCCTCATCCAAAACCATGCGTTATTTTTGACTTAAGTTTACAAGAAAATCACAAAAGGATTGAAGCCAAATGATTAAAACCTGCCGAGAAGAACATGTGAAAACCACCCATCTTAAAACACATGTTCTGAGGAAACGGAGACTNCGTTATTTTTGACTTAAGTTTACAAGAAAATCACAAAAGGATTGAAGCCAAATGATTAAAACCTGCCAAGAAGAACATGTGAAAACCACCCATCTTAAAACACATGTTCTGAGGAAACGGAGACTTAAAAGAACAAGTAGGTGGTACCATGGTGCTAGGAGAAAACAAGGGTAGGGGAGTGCTAATCCAAATTTGGCTACTCTCCAATTCTACTTACCTCTCAAATTAGGCAGTGTATAACCACAATCTAGCTATGCTCCTGGGAGCATAAATTACGCAAAACAAATGCAACATCCGTGTATCAAAACCACAAGTATAGCATAGCGTTCTATAAAGCTATCTCCATACGGCAGATCCTTGTCAAGCTGTTTTACCCTGAAGAAGCAATACCAGGACCAAAAAGTCGGCACTGTAAGTCTGTAACCACCAAAAATCTGTAACTCCAGCCTTGAAAACAAGGCCAGACACCAACATTTTGTTGGACAAACCCAAACAAGCACTCTCATTTCCAGATTGGGTGGGCAGAAAATTATGTTCCAATGTTCATTAAGATTGTCCAGCTCATTCATAGAAACCAAGTATTGCCAGATCTTGTATATCATCACAAAATTTAATAGAACGACAAGGGCTTCATAAATGACACTCAAAAGCAAAAACATAAAGCATTCAAAACTTACTAGCATAGAAGGTTCTCAAAGAAACCAACCATGATTCAGTAAAAAACTACGCAGGTAAATAGAAACTCCCGGCCATGCTATGCTTCCTAAACTTACCATCACCAATTACATAGCACATGATGCCTCATTCTTCATCTTCTTCATCTCCATCTCCACCAGCAGCCTTCTTCGCAGCTGCCTTCATGTTCTTTCGCTTCACTCTACCAGGGCGCCCGCCACCAAAAGGACTTGTAAGAGAGAAATCAATATGCTTCTGTGAGTCCACTCTCACCATAAAGGAGGCAACATTGACGACCTGCCTCCCAACCCTGCAGTGCAAAGAAATAAATTTTACTAAGATGATCATGATCAATGGATTTTTTTCCTTCAAGGTAGACAAATCAGAAGTCAAAGTGGTAGTTACTAAACCAGATGTTGAATGCAATTGGTTCACTCAAAAAGAAATAGCAATTACATGCATGTGTTTTTCAAACAATTTTTGTTATATTATACATAAATGTGTAATCATTCGAAATTAGGACTTTCTTGAAATTATGTTGAAGAAGTAATGGACCTTGTCCAAATAGAAATTTGATAGGACTCTCAAAGATCACTTAGTAATATTGTCCCAAGCGTTTAATAACATTACGTGACGCAGCAGGAATTCATTGAAAACTCAAACTGCACAATATCAACTTTCCACCTTTCCATAATCAAAGTCGACCATCTAACTCTGAAGATAAAACCTTGTAACATAAGGCAACCTACAAAACACATCAAATGCTTCTTCAAGTAATAGCTAACATGTTTAGTCCATCTTAAATAATATAGCACTGTAAATCCTCAAGCCCTTTTGAGGATTTTTCATTCCTCAAAAGGATTCTTCAAGTAATAGTCAAGATGTTTAGTCCATCTCAAACAATGCTTGAGGATTTTTCATTCCTTTGTTTTCTTATTTGGGTTAGGTTGGGTTGGGTTGGGGGGTGAGCCTAGGGGTACGGAGATTAACCTAAGCCCAACTCAAGTTATAAAACATTCAACCCTAGTCCAACCCGAGCCCGATTTCTAACCCAAGGTCTTCAATCCGAGTACTACCCAACAAGTTACTTTTCTTAAAGCTCGGGTTGAAATCAAGTTAGCCAACTCGGTCTCAATTTCAGGTTAATACCCGGCTCATCATTCAGGTTTATAATTTAGCCACAATACCCAAGTTGTTCAAATTTACCAATCAAGACACCAAATCAGAATCTGAAAAACCACATTGTCGGGATAAGCTTTCTCTACTCCATCTTCTTGCTAAAATTTACCCAAAGAATATTTCTTAGACAACCCATGTGAAATGAACAAAACACAAGTAGTAGATGAAATAGATCTACAAAAGATCTAAAGCTGAAAACCAAAAAAAATGATAAAGGTAAAGAACATTTGGTCAAGAAACCCACACGGTGGAAATAAAGAATAATACCAAAAGTCTTACATCTGAAAGTGTTTTCATAATTAAAGAGAGAAATCTATTTTAAAGAATCATTTTACAAATAGGGGTGTTCAAATTTTTGATTGGCCGTAATTTCTTACCCTACCTGATTGAACGGTTAGCCACAAAAATCGGATAAGAATGCAGAAGAATTTTCTCTTTATTAGAGGCAACCCTAACGCTAACTCTTTCTCTTTATAATCACACACACACACACACACATATGTATATTTATTAATATAAAATTAAACCCGAGTTCTAAATTTGGGTTGTGCACGATTTCATTAGTTCAATCTGGGGGCTCGGGTTAAACTCGGGAACCCAATTCAATTCAGGTTGAGTTTTTTTTGCCCACGCCCAACCCAAATCTTAAAAACCTCAATCCACACCCTATTTTTCTCGGGTTGGGTTCAGACTGAACTGCCCAACTTGCACCATTAGGTGGACCAATTCCAGAACCCTCATAAATTTTCTGATTTTGTATGGATAATTGTCCAAGGTACAAGCTAAAATGATATGAAAAGGTGTATAAGCCAAGCCAAAGGATGGCGACAAGGAAGATGGCAGGCAATCATTAAGAAGAAGACGACCAGTATACTGAAAGACAGACTGAAGTGACGAACGCAAGCTAGAGAGTAGGGTAAAGCTACAAAAAAGAGAATAAATGCACATATGCAATGCCATATTCTTTATTAAAGGTAGGTATAGTTTGTCATTTTTTATGAGCACTACTTTCCGTTTCAGAAGCAAGTCGATTTTCCTACTTCTCCGATCAATACCACGGTCACCTCCATTCTTCCTATGCCTTGAAAGTGTTGTATAGATGGTTACTCAACTATGGGAATCTTCTGTGGATTTCTTAACCTCTCAACTATGTGTAGGGGTAATGACTGAAAAAAATTAACATTTATGGGTGATCAGAGAGGAGTCTCACAACGTAAAAACTATAAACTTGAAAGTATTTAATGTCATCGCTTTCAAAGGAAAAAAATAAGGACTTGTGCTTTATAAAAGCAAAACAGTCCAGATAGCAACAGGTTCTACCCAGCATACCCCTCAAGATACACAAAATGAAATTAAATCTTTAAATTCGTGAACATAGATATTCACCCAGAAAATAAAAAGTTAGTGGCCGTAGAATACTATCCATACTTCATCAATTGACAACTGAATACCTCGACGGGTTTAATTTTTAGCACTACATATGCACATACATATTCATCCAGACAAGGGCATCTCTGTGTGTGGAGCAAAGAAAATATAAACAACCAATCCAAATTATTTTCTTGTATTTATTTGTTGCAAACGTTAATAAATTTTCTCAGTTGCACATAAAACTAGAAAATATGCATAGACAGTATTAAAAAATTTCATGCTATGTGGAAGAAGAACAAGTAACCAGAAACAAAAAAAATGAATGCATTCTTCCCCAATTGGGTTACAGGGATTAACGCATTATTCATACCTGATATGCCTCTGCCTAATAAGCACTCTGGCATGGTGGATTGACTTTGCCATACCCGTCTTAAACACAAGTGTTTGGAGGCGGCGCTCAAGGAAGTTTTCAACAGTCAAGGCCAACACATAATCGAGCTTGTTCTGGCTCTCATCCAATAGTCCATACCTGTTCATCCTCCTCAGAAGGGCTTCACCCTCAAAAATCCTACGTGGGTCCTTCTCATCAAGGGTCAAAAGCATTCTTGCGTTATTACGAATGCGACTAAGAGCATACTGGACCCTCCAAAGCTCCCTCTTGCAGCGGAGCCCATACTCTCCAACAAGCTTCAGTTCAGCATCCAATCGTTCCTTCTCATAGGGACGGCGAGGCTTCTTAAAAGTCTTCCCATCTGACATCCACTCATAGTCAGTTCTTCACACTCAAATTGGATAAAGCATATTCTGTATTTCTTAATTAATGTGCTTGTATGAATAAACATATATGAAAAAACATTCTATGTGTGTTGACCTCAATTTAAAGGAATCAAATACAAAGGGATAAAAACATAAAATGAAATTGAAATTTTATAGATCATTAGATCATATTACTGAGACATATAAATGGCCATGCGAGTGGTAGAGGTATACCGAAATCAACTTTGAATGGGATAGTAAAAAAAGATATGATAATTGGTAGCTTAACAGAAAACATAGCTTTCGTCGAAAATCAATGGCAAACTAAGGATTCATATAGCCGACTGACTCCATATTAAATGAGACATGACTAAGCTGAGTTGAGCATAGGTCATGTCAATGCGATTGCAATAGATAAAAACTTCAGCTCAACCAAGCCAACTGGTGCCACAAATATTGACAGAGTAATTTCACATTTCAATTCATCAGTGTTCTACACTTTTTCCACTAACCAACCAAGCAGTGGAAAAATACCAAGCCGTCCGACTGCCTTCATGTCAATATATAACCATGAATGTAAACAACCTAATAAAACAACTCATAGCTTTCCACTAAAAAACTTAGAACCAAAACCATCCACGGGCCAAAACATGGAGACAAGCACTAAACTAAATTTCCCACTGTTTGGTAGCTTGGAAATCAGTGAAGACAAAAAGGAAAATTATAAACAGATGTTGTTCTGGTTGCCTATAGATCATAAGTTTAGCTCAATCAACTGGTTGCTCTAGCCCTAATCGAGCCTATGTGATCTTCCTAGGGTTAATCACATCGTAAAAAGACAGCTTCCAACTTCAGCTCCTCTTATTTTCCTACTCTTTTAACAGAAACAGACACAAGATAAAATACCAGGACTTCAAACTTGTCTTGACACTAAACTATTCATCAACGTTAACAACCCTTGATATTCATTGGAAACAGCAACAGTTATATCACAGCAGGAAGGTTCTCCAACAATGTAACATTAATCGAAAAAAGGATCACATGAACGTCTCATAAACGGATCTGATCCACCCACCCACATATATATAGATAGATAGATAGATAGATAGATAGATAGATAGAGAGAGAGAGAGAGAGAGAGAGAGAGAGAGAGATGTACGTAAACGAGGAGAGTGGGGACATACAGTTGCGATAGAAGGAGACGTGCACCATGGCTGCTAGCCGTCGACGCTCTCAGTCCCGCGATCGGATCTGATCTGTCTCTACCGGCCGACGGAAATGGACGAAGAGAAAACCAGGCAGACTCTGTTATATATTAGTTTCACTCTAAAACCCTAATGGGCCAAGATTAGCCCAAGCCCTTTACTTAATACCAATTTGTAACTCTAAACTAATCCAAATTTTTAGCTGAAGCATGACCTGGCCCATTAGCCCAAAAAACGGAAAACTGGATCAGATTTGAGATAAAAGCCTAAAAATAGCGAAGATTGTATTTGTCATCTCTAACTATGTATCGATTACAGGTTAAGTCTTTCAAAGCATCGGTGTTTTAATTCATATTAGATTCTGAAAATTATTGGTTCAAGTCTGAACCTTTTTAGAGCGCAGGACCCTTTGGGCTTGCAGAAAGCAGCTCATTCAAACAATTTTTCTTGGGATTGAACTGCGTCATGAACCAATTCCAAAGAAGCTCGATATTAACAAATTTGGTACAACTATCAGTTCCGAAGATGGGAGCATGACACAAGGTCAGTCTGCAAATGCTGCCGCATGACACGTGGATAGGGGACAACAGAACATTACCTGATTGCTCTGATGAACAAAAACTCGCAAATAGTAAAGACGGATCAAATATTGTAGTCGATGAGTCGTTAAAGACCATTGCCCCAAGACAAAGACAAACACAGAAAGAGACCACAGAACCAACTAGAAAAGACAAACACGAAACCTTAACTACCAGTTATATATATAGCTAACAAGGCTACAATGCAGGGGGAAGCCATTCAAAAAAACCATCATGTAAAATCTAGACAATATCTTGCAAAAAGCTTCAAGTCATATACCCTGTAACATCAATCTTTTTCCTCAAGTAATAGAATCATCCAATGAACAAGAGTTTTTTTTACCGTGGAGGTAACCTCAGTCTTTCAGCTAACACAATCCATTCATATCATTGTTTTCTCCTTTCATCATACACACAGCATGCACACTCAAATTCTCATATACTCACACATACTCGTTGGACTTCACCTAAGTCTGTTCTATAATCCAATTCAGTTGATTTTGAACACCATCAAATACCATAAAAGTTAATCATCATCTCAATCATTTATCAAATTGAAATATATTAAAAATAAGATAAGCTTATGAAATAAAAAAGAGATGTCTTTCAGAGTCTACTCAAATTTTTTTTCCCGATGAATTTAAGAGCGTGTGCATTTCACTTTATTGTTGCGTCAGGAATGTCCAACACCCACGTCTCTTGTTGCAACCCCCAAGTCCACCACCAACAACAACTACAAGAAGTGTAGTGTACAACTTACATCCATATAGTTAATACATACATATATAGAGGATAGGAGAGAAAAGGGGAGAGATCATGAGACACCATCTCCAACCTTACGCCACCCAAGAAGACGCGGGCTGGATAGAATCCCCTCAATTGTTTGAGAAAAGACGTGGTTTTTTTTAGTTAAAGAATGAAGGTATTTTTTTGGACTGTATTGAGACTTGATGATAGTTAGACTCTTTCTGTTTCTTAGTGACCATCTCCATTATAATTTGCTTACTGACAATTACTGCAAAATAGTACCTGCGTTCGAGAGGATTGAATGAGAAAATCAGTTGCGGCAGATGGAGAATTAAATTTAGACTCCTCGTAGTTTGTCATTTAATCACTTACATTCTCTGACATCTATAATTTTTTATTTTATATAAAACATGACGATTTTAACAAGTCTATCATATGATATCAAATTCATTAATCCAACGTTCAAGAAATTACCTTTTTTTCCAGTAATATTTCTTCTCCAACCCGTCAACGATTACCGCTAATCTTGAAATACATCCTACAACCTCAAATTTATTCATTCAACGGTCAAAAAATTACAATTCTTTTTTTTAATATTTTTTCCCCAACCGATCAATGATTACGGCTGATCTAGAAACACATGATTTTCTTTGACATAATAATTAAATGGGTTAAATTTGTCATTAATATATAATCTGTGTAGTGTAACATTTTGAATTTTTATAAGACACAATTATAACATTTTAATTAAAAAAAAAAAACAAGGGCGCTGCTTAATACATTTATATTAAATATAATTAATTTTAATTTTATTTATTTATTAATTATCTCAAATTAACATGTCTTACACATATCTTGAATCAAAAGTTCAAGACTAATTTTTTTTCATCTTTTAAAAAAATCTAACGCTAATATATTCTTATAAATTAATAATTTTATAATAACTTGTACTAATTAAAAAAATAATATTTTTTATAAATGATATTTATAGAACTTTTTTTTGATAGAAAATATTTTGGCGATATATTTTTTGATAAACTATAGATAACTCGTGCCTGAAAGCAAAGTGTAATGTGAATGATTTTAAGAGGAATGTTTGTAGCTGTTGGATGAGTTTATTTAAGACTGTTGAATTGATTCATTGAAGTCTATCCTGTTTATAAATAAACATTTAATTTTGAAACATAAAAAAGTAATTTTTTGTTCACCAAAATACTTGTATTAAATCTTGTTTACCAAATAACATGATACAATCAAAATATTTGAATGTTTAGTGAGCAAATTTGTAATCTAACAATTCACAGTTGGTGCAAGAAAATTTAAAAAAAAAAAAAAAATTGGTCGGGCATTGCTGTTTTGAAATGTGAGAGACTTTACATTAAAGAAGAAAATGTTAGCATTATTTTATGATAATTCAAATATAATAAATTTTTTTTTTTAAAAAAAAGTGATGAAAAATACATGGAGGCCAACTGTCGGTTTGAAAACAGCCAAAAAAATGTTATCGTTACACTAGAAAATTGTTGGCATTTTTTGGCACTTTGCCGACAGTGTGTTCTTAAGCTCAGTACCTTGGTAGATATGAAATAACCATGGGTCGGGTCTCGGGTGGCATATATTTCACATGGAATAGTGTATTTTTATGCAAGAGAGAGGAAAAAAATTGTAAAAACTATTTGATCAATAAATCAAAGGGTGGGCCAATAGATTTGAACATTAATGTAGTCAATCCTTAAAAGTTTGGGTTCAATTTTTGGTTCAATTCAAAATTCATTGGGATTTAGTTATGGAGTTATTGAATTTGAGTTGAACCGGGATTGATTATTTTGTTAAAACCCAAATTTATCAATTGGCAAAGGACCTTAAAAACTCGAGATACAAATGTATATCAATGTTGGCGATTGTAGGATGGGTTTATATATTTATATAATAAAGTAGAACGAAATTTGAATCCAAAAGACAAAGAGAAGTCCAGATCGTTCTGAAACAAAACAAAAACACATTTAACGGACAACGTAATCCCAACATAAAAGACAGTTCATATTATCTCAAAAATTTTGATCTAACAATCTACAGTTAGTCTTGAATTTCTATTTTCGCCCATGAATAAGCCTCTTATCATAAGACTCTACACTTCTATCTCCTATATGTCTCTATCTTAAATTTGAAAAAGTACAATAACAATTCAGATTAAATTCATTTTAAATTAAATGATCTAAATTTCATCTAAATTCATCAAACTTAATCTAATGACTCACAACACATCCCACAAAAAAATTAAACCCACCAGGGGCGGAGCCAGAAAAATACTTTAAGGTGGACACATTAATAAATTTTAATTATTTTTTTTATCAATGTTATCAATGATTTAATTCAATGTAACTGTTATTTTAATTGTAAATTTTAATGGTAGGTGGAGTCTATTTTCAATCAAATGGGTGCATTGAATTATGTTATCAAATTAGATCTAAATAACATTTTTTATTTTTTTTCAATTGACCATAGAAGTTTATAAATTCATATTTACTATAATNGCGATAGAAGGAGACGTGCACCATGGCTGCTAGCCGTCGACGCTCTCAGTCCCGCGATCGGATCTGATCTGTCTCTACCGGCCGACGGAAATGGACGAAGAGAAAACCAGGCAGACTCTGTTATATATTAGTTTCACTCTAAAACCCTAATGGGCCAAGATTAGCCCAAGCCCTTTACTTAATACCAATTTGTAACTCTAAACTAATCCAAATTTTTAGCTGAAGCATGACCTGGCCCATTAGCCCAAAAAACGGAAAACTGGATCAGATTTGAGATAAAAGCCTAAAAATAGCGAAGATTGTATTTGTCATCTCTAACTATGTATCGATTACAGGTTAAGTCTTTCAAAGCATCGGTGTTTTAATTCATATTAGATTCTGAAAATTATTGGTTCAAGTCTGAACCTTTTTAGAGCGCAGGACCCTTTGGGCTTGCAGAAAGCAGCTCATTCAAACAATTTTTCTTGGGATTGAACTGCGTCATGAACCAATTCCAAAGAAGCTCGATATTAACAAATTTGGTACAACTATCAGTTCCGAAGATGGGAGCATGACACAAGGTCAGTCTGCAAATGCTGCCGCATGACACGTGGATAGGGGACAACAGAACATTACCTGATTGCTCTGATGAACAAAAACTCGCAAATAGTAAAGACGGATCAAATATTGTAGTCGATGAGTCGTTAAAGACCATTGCCCCAAGACAAAGACAAACACAGAAAGAGACCACAGAACCAACTAGAAAAGACAAACACGAAACCTTAACTACCAGTTATATATATAGCTAACAAGGCTACAATGCAGGGGGAAGCCATTCAAAAAAACCATCATGTAAAATCTAGACAATATCTTGCAAAAAGCTTCAAGTCATATACCCTGTAACATCAATCTTTTTCCTCAAGTAATAGAATCATCCAATGAACAAGAGTTTTTTTTACCGTGGAGGTAACCTCAGTCTTTCAGCTAACACAATCCATTCATATCATTGTTTTCTCCTTTCATCATACACACAGCATGCACACTCAAATTCTCATATACTCACACATACTCGTTGGACTTCACCTAAGTCTGTTCTATAATCCAATTCAGTTGATTTTGAACACCATCAAATACCATAAAAGTTAATCATCATCTCAATCATTTATCAAATTGAAATATATTAAAAATAAGATAAGCTTATGAAATAAAAAAGAGATGTCTTTCAGAGTCTACTCAAA